CATCCCTCATTAAACAGAACCCTCTTTGCTTGAAATGTGAAAGGATTTTCATGGATTTCCTTTTGAAATGACTTGCCTCCAAGTAACCCAATCAATTTACTATTGGCTATGATTTCTCTTCAATCATCCTGCACAGTCTGGAACTGTTGCCAAAAATCCAACTTACAAATTGTTTTCAAATATAATGACGTGTGTATGGATACCAAACTTAAATATTAAAGCTGATGTTACTTTCTGAAGGCACGTTGCTAAACATTCAGCAACTTTGACATTGTCTTTTTCATAGTTTGAAGCCCCCAAAGATTTTCTTTCAAATCTCCAACATTCCTGGGCCTTTAGAAGTCCACGCTGGCCCCTAAAGAGGAGGGTGCGTGCTAAGTCGCTTCAGCCGTGTCCGACTCTTTGTGACCCTATGGACTGTAGCCTGCCAGGCTCCTCTGTTCACAGGATTCTCCAGGCAAGAATACTGGAGTGGGTTGCTGTGCCCCTCCTCCAGGGAATCTTCCCGACCAAGGGATGAAACCCATGTTTCGTCTCCTGCATTGGCAGGCAGGTTCTTTACCACTAGCACCACCTGGGACGCCCTAGGGTTGCTCATAAAGCCAGGACACTTGGCTCCTCCCCATCTCCAGACATGCAGGCTGCCCCAGCAGGTCCAGCTGCAAGACCACCCACCCAAGATGGTCCAGGGCATCCTAATTTGGGCAACTTGGGCTTCCCTGGTGGCTCAGAGGGTAAAGAATCTGCCTGCAATGCAGGAGACCTGGGTTCGATCCCTGGGTTGGGAAGATCTTCTGGAGAAGGGAATAGCTACTCACTCCAGTATTCTTGCCTGGAGAATTCCATGGACAGAGGAGACTGGCGGGCTACAGTCCACAGGGTCGCAAAGAGTCAGACACAACTGAGTAACTAACACTTTCTTCATAGATTATTCTCATTTTGAAAGCAGAATGATTTGCCAAATGTTGGGTTAAATGTGATTTAATGCTTAAATCTTTATTGGAATTCCATATAAATACATTTACAAATGAGCCAATGCTTTGATGGGAGTAAATGTTCTTATAAAAGGTTTGGAAATTAGGATCACTGTCATCCTAACCAAGCCTTACCAGCCCCTCCCATCTAGGGGCGCAGTCAGTGGCCCCCCTGGTCCCCTCACGTCCCGCAGGATGTGGCCCGTGAAGGTGAAGCAGGGCAGGACAGGGTGTGATGTGTCCTGGCACAATCCACCCAACCACAGTGTTTTGTGACTGACAAGGGACAGTCCCCTGGCGCAGACTATTCAGGGCTGGCCCCATTCAAGGCAGACTGGCCAAGGCAAGCTGTCTTGCCTATTTTAGTGTGTCTGGGGCCTTTCAGAGCAGACTAGTTTTTTTAATTCCCTCTGCCATCCACCATCACTCCACTCCCTTCTCCATGCAAGAGGCAGAAGCCTTAAGGAGGGAAGATGCAGCCTCTTCACAAAGCCTTCCACACCTGCCTCCCGAGCAGGTCACGGGGAGGGGCTCAACATGATCCTATTAAAGGGAAGGAGGCAGGACTGCACAGGAGGCGTGGGCGAGGTAGAGGGCGGCAAAGAATTTTAACTGCGGTTTACATGCTTTGATTCATTCTATCAAGAAGCAGTAAGACAGGTAGACGATAGATACCTTGGACCTGGTCATTTTACTCATGGGCATCGAGATTCGGAATATTCTGTAAAGCCTTATTTGCATGCTAAGTCGCTTCAGTCGTGGCCAACTCTTTGCGACCCTATGGGCTCAGGACAGAGTCTCCTCTGTCCATAGGACTTTTCAGGCAAGGATACTGGAGTGGGTTGCCACGTCCTTCTTCAGGGGATCTTCTCGACCTAGGGATCGAACCTGGGTCTCCTGCATCTCTGGGATTGGCAGGCGGGTTTTTTACCACAAGAGCCACTGGGAAGCCCAAAGCCTTATATGCAGAGACAATAATATCTAACACTCACTGAGCACTTGGTGCTTTATATCCAGAGACTCAATGAATCCAGAGTCAACCTGTGAGGATTATTATTATTGATTGCTATTATTATTGCTGTTATTATCCCTAAGAAATCAGTGAGGACATGGAGGCACAGAGAGAAGTAGCTTGTCCAAGGTCACATAGCCAGTAAGCAGTGGAGTCAAAGTTCAAACCCCTGTGGTCTGGCACCACGGCAGAGAGTGGTAGCCATGACATTAGGCCACAGTGATTCCTAACAAAGAACCCTGACGGTCAGTTATGGTGAGGCTCACCAGGGGACAGTGTACAGTAATTAAAATTTATAAAGAATATGAAAATATTAATGAAATGTGGAAAGACATTAAAATATTTTTAAAATACAAAACAATACATGTGTGATCTCATGTTGATGTAGGGCAGAAGCCAACACAGTACTGTAAAGCAATTATTCTCCAATTAAAAAAGACAATTTTAAATGTCTTTTTAAAAAGAGCTAAAAAGTATGTAATATAAAACATATAAAATATATTTTAAACATATAAATGTATCTCAGAAGTTGACCAAATATCTGTTGAAACTGGAGGATTGTGAGTGGACTTTTTTCTTCTTCTTACTTTTCTATATTTTCCAAATTTCTTTCATGAAAATTATTGTTTTCAGTTAGGAAAAAGTATTAAGGGCTGGTTTAAAATTATTTGCTCTCAAGAGAAATTTCTGAGAAACAAAAACTCCACAAGTAAGTTGTTTTTTAAAAAAAATAGTGGGGGGGGGGTTGGCTAAGAAACTTTTAAAACTGGTAATATGCTTACAGCAAGACCTCAGAACACTGAGAAAAGTGTACAAGAGACGAAGAAACAGAATGAAGGGTTCTATGACAAGAAAAGTTCATTTCCTCATTACTCATTACAATGAGTAAATAAGGAGTCTTTGCTGTCCTAAGGCAGCTCTTGCCTTTGAGGAACGCTTCTACAAATCCTTTATCTTACAAATGAAGACACAGCATGTTGTTATTAAATACAGTCACTTCCTTGAAAAGTAAGTTTCCATCAGCCTGTTAAAGATCCTCCTGTGGGCATATTCAGGCCCAGCGTGGGCCGCGAGCTCCCCTGGCTCCAGCCCAGACTCAGCCACTGGCCCATTCCATCTCCTGAGCCCACTCCATCCCCAACAGAAATCAGCCAGACTTTTTACAATCTCTTGCTTATCATCCAGCTCTAACACACTGCTCTCCACTGTATAAATGACTAGAACGAATTGGCTAGAGATGCCTTCTGAAGACAGAACCCTGGGTCTTGGCCAGGAGTGAGCCCGTAGCCCTCAGGAGGCAGCGGCATCAGGGAGCCTCTGCCCGGGGCAGACGCAGGAAGAGAGCTGGGGCTGGAGAAGGGCAGGCTGACAGAGAGGAAGCCAGCCCCCTGCTCCCTCACCAGGCCCTCAGTCACACAGGCTCATGCTGTTCCAAGGCTAATTGAGTCAGAACAGAATCAACAGCGCGTCTTTCTCCCCACTCAGCAGCAGCAGCAGGAAACAGCTTCTCTATCACCAACCCAAGACCTGCACAGCCCAGGGCACATTCCACTCTCCTCCTTACATGAGCAACAGACTCCAGCAACCTCTGTGCCCAAGGAGGTGCTCCCCAAAACCATGCGTTAACCATGGGACTGAAGCCAAGTTGCTTAAGTCTGCATTCAAAAAGCTCAGGCTTGCTCCAACACTTTGCAAGAGAATCTGCTGGGAACATGCAGATTTCTGCACTATGCCTCCCACCTACTGACAGAGTCTCTGAGGGCAGGACCTGGAAATGGCATTTTAAACAAGCTCCCCAGAAGAGCCTGATGCTCCTGGAATTGCAGAACCACTGGCCTCAGGGTTGCATGTAAATGCATATTCCCACATCTACTGGAGGCTGGGAGGGAAGAGGATGGAAAAAGTGGAAAGGGGATGCTACTCCCCAAAATGATGTGATATGGATGTGCCCCAGACCTGGAGCCAAGTGTCCACTTCAGAGGGGGTGGGCCAGGCTGGATGAGGGCCTACGGGCAGCAGTTGGGTCCCTGGCGGGCCTCTCCTCCCACCCTGCTTCCTCTGTCAGTTTCCACATGCATAAACATTCAAGTCCATTCGTTCCCCTCAGAACTTGCTGTCCCTCCATCCACAAGGCTCCTGGATCCAACCTCAGCCACCGTCCACCACGGCTCTCCCTCTCCCAACAGAGACTCCACCTGCCTCATTACTTAAATAATCTTTATTTCTCATGCACTAGGAAAGATGGGATTGTATGAAACACTGCATTTCACAGCAAAGGCCTCAGTCCAGATCACAACACAGGGGACCAGGGGAGATCCAGGTGTAGTCAAAACTCTGGGGACCACAGTGGGGTTACTACCCTCAGGGCTGGTGGCAGATCTGGGACCCTCCCGCTACAAGGGCCCCGAACACAGCACAGGGCGGCTGCCCCCTCCCACAGAGGCACAGGAAGCTGACACCAGAGAAGCACACGGACCAGAGAAAAGACGGAAGAAACTGCTGGGCAGTGACTTGGCAGAGGCGGCGGTCCAGCACCTCCAGGGCCCCAGTCCAGGCAGCCAAGGCTGGGACTCAGCCGACCCTACCTGCCGTAGAGCTGCTGGAGCTCACAGATCCCAGGCAGCCCATGCCCACAACAACATATGTGTATAGGCCACACCTGACTGCCTCCCCGGCCACTAAATTCAAGCCCCAGTCAAGCTTGAATTTACCCGAGCAGGACCCCAAGGGCTAGAGGGGCCAGCCCCCCGCAACCATCCCGAGCTCTCAGATGCCTGAAGGACCAGTCAGGCTTCAGAGGATCCTGGGACAAGGCTTCCGGAAGGACAGAGCTCAAGCCTGGGCCCTCAGATGCCACGTGAGCCAAGATGAGGGCAAACCGGCCCCACTCGCCCCAGGGCGGCGCACGAACAGACACAGGTAGAAACATGCAGGACAGAACAAGGAACGACACATGCAGAGACCGTAACAGGCCAGGAGGGGTCTGCAGACAGGACACGGGCAAGGTGCCAGGCTCACTGAGGCCCGGGGCTCATGGTGATGCCCGCCTCCTCCGGGATGGTCTCCAGCGTCTCGCTCTGCACGGCCTGCGTGATGAGCGCCAGCTCCTGGCACAGGGTCTCGTGGCGGTAGCCCACGCGGATGTCGGGCACGTTGGTGCGGCGGATGTCGTTGCCCTCGGGGCCCTCCTTGGTATAGTTGGGTCCCAGCCAGTGGCTCTTCACCTGGTGGGGCAGGGTAAGGTGCAGGGCTGCCACCCGCTCTCAGGGGCCAGCCACCCTGTGTGTCTGTGTGTGTTAGTCACTTGGTCATGTCCGACTTTGTGACCCCATGGACTGGAGCCCACCAGGCTCCTCTGTCCATGGGATTTCCCAAGCAAGAATACTGGAGTGGGTTGCCATTTGCTCCTCCAGGTAATCTTCCCAACCCAGGGACTGAACCTGAGTCTCCTACATTGCAGGCAGATTCTTCACCTCTGAGCCACTGGGAAAGCCCAGCACCCCCGGGACCTTCCCAAATGCAGAGCAGGGGAGGAGAGGGAATGGGGAGGGGGTGCAGTACCTTGTGGGAGAAGCCACTCATGAGCACGCTATTGCGTGCCAGCTCGCACATGTCACAGGAGCTGAGCTTCCACACCTGGGTGGCGATGCTATACTCCTCCATCAGCGGCTCCTGCAGGGACCAGGTTCCCTCAGGCAGGTGCACGGGGGCCTGCTGCCCACCCCCTTCCGGGGACTGACCACTAGGCACGCTGCGCTCCACCAGCAGAGGCCAGCACCAGCACCGAGGCCCCGCAGCCCAGGAGGCCTTTGTGCCCCAGGACAGCCGCCTGCCTGGCTGCCTGCCGGATGCTGACCTTGGTGAAATGGAACTGCAGGGGATCGTCCGTGGACAGCGAGACCATGAGGCCACGGGACAAGTACTCAGGCAGCGGGTTCCGGTGGTAGCTGAGGAAGAGGCTGTTGTTGCTGAGCGGGGACATGGCGATGCCAACCTGGGCCAGGTAATACAGGTACTGCAGGACCGGGGCCTAGGTGGGCGACAGGGAGGGTGGGCCTGTCAGGTTGGGGAGGACACCTGGTTCTGGGGGTTACAGGCCACAGTGCAGCTTGGGGGGCAGTCCAGGCTGGGCAGGAGTTGCAGAGGGTTGGTTACAGCCAGGTTCTGAACTGGGGCCTTGGTGTGGAGGCTGGGGTCCCAGCTGGGGGTGGGTGAGGAGGAAAACCAGCTGCTGAAGAGGCCTGATGGGCAGGGAGCAGGGGAGCCTCTGGGATGGGGGAGGCAGGAGTGCAGAGCCTGACCTTGCGCAGCAGCAGCCCGTGCGAGATGTTCTCAGCCAGCATGAAGGCCGACACCAGGTGGTGGATGGGCCCCGCCTCCCCGCAGTGTGGCCTCAGCACGAACGTATGGAAGCCCCTCTGTCTGGGGAGCCAGAAGACAGCGTTGGGTCCCAAGCCTGGTGCGCCCAGGCTCCTGAGCCCCCACCCAGTGACTCTGCGGGCTGAGGACCAGGGGTCAGGGGTAGGTTCTTGGCTGCAAGGGTTGAACTACAGAGCTCCGGGGGCAGAGAAACAACCTGTCAGATCCAAGACTGGGGGTAAGAGGTGGGTCAGGTGGCCCCAGCGGGCCCCAGGGCAGGCCCAGAACAAGGCCTGCTGACTGAGAGCTAGCCAGGCGGGTAGAGACGCGGCACCTGAGGAGCCCCGGGCAGGCACCTGCGAAGGTGGTTCAGCATGGCCATGTTGGCGAAGGTGTAGTACAGGTAGTAGGCGTAGGGCGGGTTGTCCTCCTCCACCCAAGCCTCAGGGAGCGGGCTCTCCAGGTTGAAGACGTGGTTCTCGGGCTTGGACTCATCATCCACACTGTCAAAGCCGTCCACCTGGCCCAGGACACTGGGTCAAGCCCAGGGCTACAGCTAGGCCTGAGGCAGTGCCCTCCCCACACCCAGACCCGGGCCACCCCTCACATGCTCCAGGAAGAGATGCAGCTCCGGGTGGCTGGCAGGGTGGATGGTGGCCTCAAACAAAGGCAGGAAAATGTTCTCCAGCATCTCCTGGAAGTTGGCCAGCTGGCCCTTGGTACGGTACACATCGCTGCGGGCGAGATGTAGGTACACAGGTGCACGCGGGTCAGGGCAGAACCAAAGAAGCACTTCTGAGCCATACTAAGTGAGTGGGGCTGGAGAGACCGTGAGCGGAGCCAGGGCTCCCTCCTGTTCCGAGGGCTCAGCTGGGGTGGGGGAGGGTCAGCCATCCCAGAGGGCAGGAGGCCAGCCCTGGCCCCATGACCTCTGCCCCCCATGTTCCCTCCCACACCCAGGGACACTCACAAGAGGCGGGGCACCTGCACGAGCCAGCGAACGTTGGGGGAGTGTACACGGTGCATGACAGCCCAGCGCGCTAGCTTGTCCCACTCGTCCCTTGAGCGCCCATAGATGGAGAGCCGCAGCTCCGCATTCTGGTATTTGCTCTCCTCCAGGTCGGACATCACCTCCTGAGCAGCATGCGTGGGCAGCTGTCACCCTCAGGCTTCTTCCCCATCCCTGTCCCTGTGCCCATGAGGCACGCTCCATCAGACCTCTTCATGCCTCTCACCCACCCCGCAAGCCCCCAGCCACCCAGGCTCTCCCTCAGTCAGGGAGGGCTGCCCTCCTCCTCACCTTGATGATGTGAGCAAAGTACTTCCCAGAAACCCTGTTGTCCGTCTTGATGAAGATCTCTCGGAGGACAGACTCCCCAATGGGGTTGTATTTGGCATTGAACTTGTCAAAGCGATGGAAGGTGTTTCTGTCCTGGGAGAGAAAGGCCAGCCCAGGTCACCCCTGAACCCCAGCCCGCACACCAGCCCAGCCCCTCAGCCCCAACGCCGTGACTGACTGCGTGCACATCGAGCGTGTCCACACTCAGGTCATAGGCCGTCAGGTTCATGCTCTCGAAGACCTCCCGTAGTGTCTGCTCACGACCCTGCTCCACGTGCACGATCTCCTCCAGGTGCCGCTTCATCGCCCGTTTGATGAAGCGCAGCAGATGCTTCTGGTTCATGCAGGATGAGGCATGGATGTGCGTGTCCACCTGTGGTGGAACGGGCACTGCTGGGATGGGAGTGGGATGGGAGAGGACTCTCCAAACTGGATGCTGGGGAGGTGGGCAGGCCGTGGATGGGGAGGCTGGGCAGGGGTGCTGGGTCAGCTGTGTAGGGGCCCAGGCCCCAGAGGGGGAGGCTGGGCAGGGGTGCTGGGTCAGTTGCGTGGGGAAGGCCCACCTTGCGGATATTGTAGAAATCTCGGTGTGGCACCTTCTTCTGCGCAGCCAGCTCCTTCATTTCGTTGAGCAGCACATGCATCTGGAACTTGGAGCTCAGGTACTGGAGCCGGCGGTAACAGAATGACTTTCTGAGCAGAAGGAGAACCAGGCAGGGGCTCAGGCATGCGGGGAGGCACCCGGGAGGGCCTAGGCGGCAGAGCCAAGGGAGGGAGCCAGAGATGCGGGAATGGGGCTGCCAAGGGGAACAGCAGCCAAAGACGGGGAAGTCCAGGACTCAGGGACTATGAAAGGGTGAGACTGGGTGACAGGGTGTCTGGGGCCAGACTGGAAAAATCTGAGTTGGGAGAGGAGCTGAGTGTCTGGGTCAGGCGCGGACTCACATGGGGCCATTGATGATCAGAGCCATCAGCACATTGACGTCTGCCACAAATTCCTGCAGGTCGGGATATGGCAGCTCCACCTCTGAGTAGCTGGTGTGTGAGGGGAGCTTGAGTGAGGAGAGCAAGCCAGGAGGCCCTGCGGGCCCTCCTAAGCCAATGCCAGCCCCCTTAGTTTCCGCCCCTCCATGGCCCCCAGCACACCCTACACCCCTCTTACTGCTCATCAGGTTCCCTGTGGGTGTACACATGAACCACGCCCCGCACCATGCGCAGACCCAAGCCCAGGTCCCCTGGCATGGTGCTCGGCTCACAGTGCTCATAGGGGTGCTGCTCCAGCACTGGTGGGTGTACCGGGGCATCTGCAGGGGCGAGGAGGATGGAGTCAGGGCCAGGGCTCTTCCAGGCCACCTGCTGCCCAGCCCAGAGCCCCCAGCAGGACAGCTCCTGCCCCTGCCTCCCCGCCCTGCACGCCAAGAGGCTGGGAAGGAGGCAGGCTGAGGTTCCTGGGCACCCAGCTCAGGGCAGCGGGATGCCAGGGTACACGGAGTAGGACAGGGATGGGGGGTCCCACCAGCGGACACGGGGGTGTCGGGGCCCTGCTCGTAGGTGCGTGTCTCCAGGGGCTTCTCGGCCAGCTGCTGCAGGTACCGGCGGGTGGTGGGGCAGAAGCTCTGCAGCGACAGGGCCATGTACTTCTCCCGGATGAACAGCGCCCGCACCACACTCTTGGCCGCATCCAGCAGGTCTGTGAAGGGCACCTAGAGACAGAGATGTGGACTTGCTCTCCTCGGTCCCAGACCCAGCTCGCTCTCACCTCCTTCCTGAGGCCTGCACCCCAGAAACACTCAGACCATTCTATGCTCAACAAGATGACAAGCTCCCAAACAGAGCCTCTGCCTCTCCAGCTTTCAGAAAGAGAAACAGTCCCTCGAGCCTCTATCCCCATAGCCCCAGACTGGGGGAGCCCATCAGGTTGCAAGGACAGGGACACTCACCCCACACTTCTCCTCGCCGGAGATGGTCACCCGCTGAAACTCCCGCTCCAGCACCACGTCGCGCTCCCACAGGCCCCGGTCACCCTGCCCCTCACCCTGCTCCTTGTAGAGCCTGCGAGTGGGGAGGACAAGGGAGGGGCTGGAAGCAGCAGAGGGACAGGCCCCAGCCCCGCAGCCCCCGTGTCCCTCTGCCCTCCTCACTGGAAGTCCGAGTCACTGTCAGTCTTCAGGAAATCTTGCTTGGCCCGAAGCAGGATGTCCGGCTCCAGCCTGGAGGCAAGAGGAGAGGGCAGGCATACGATGAGGCCCGTGCTCCTAGCCGGGCCCCCGCACTGTCCGAGGTGCTGTGCACGTGTTGTCACGTGTGGCCCTCACAGGGCTGAGGAACCCTAGGCCACGCGGCTGTTCTCGCCCCACATCAGAGATGAGGACACACACCCAGAAGTTAAGCCACATGTTCCAGGACACGCTGGCGGGCAGAAGGCTGAACCAGACAGAGCCAGACAGAGCCCAGCAGCCTGACTCCAAAGCCTATGCTTCTGTATACCACTACTCTGCGCCACCTCTCGGGGGTGGCCCAGAGGGAGGACTGGTTGGGAGAGAACAACGATGGGGCTCTGAAAGCATCCAGGTGGAAACAGAGGGATGCTGGGCAGACCACTTACTACTCCCTACTACCCTATAGCTGCCGCCTGGCTGTGCCCCTGCACCCTGGACGAGCCCCCAGCCCGTGGCTGCCTGGCTCTGCAGCTGGGGGCTTACTTAACATCCTGGCTGATCTGCCGCTCCAGGCGCTGCCTCCGCTCCTCCAGCTGCTCGATAGGGCTCTCCTCGGGGAACTCGTAAGGGGCACTGCGGAGCTCACTCTCAGCCAGGGAGCGGCTGAACAGCTCCTGGTGGGAGGGAAGGAGGGGTCAGCGTGGCCGAGCCATCAGGGTCCAGGGATGCAGGGAGGGCACAGGGGCTGGGGGTACCTGGGACCACCTAGGGATCAGGGCACAGCCAAATATAAAGTTAGGGGACAGCTGAGGTGGAGGGGTGCAGGGAGCGGGGACCAGGCGTGGAGGCAGCGACGGGGGTGGGTGGGGGAAACGCAGGGGGTGGTGCCAAGCGATACCTCGGCGATCTCCTTGCATTTGCCATCCATGGACGTGCGCAGGTCGAGCGGGAAGTGCTTGAGGCAGGGGGCAGGGCCTGGCAGGGATCGGGCAGACTGTAGCGGAGGGGCCCCCAGCCCACCCCGAGCCTCTGTGGAGACAGTGATGCGGGGGTCAAAGAGTGGAGGGCAGGGCCGAAGTACACTGGAAGCCCTGGGGCTCAGCATTACCCAAGGCCAGCCCCAGAGAGAGGCCAGCCCCACTCAGAGGCTGCGGCATGAGCCTACCTGTGCCCCTCACCTGCAGTCTGGGGACCCCTCACCCATTCCAGGTTCGGGGGTGGGGCTAAGAGTTGCCCCTACAACAAACAGACTCATTCACCCCAGGAATAAAAATCTGAATCCTGGACTAGGGGCCACTCCATCAGGCCATGAGACAACCTCCAAGTGAGTACCTGCTACAGGCAGCGCCCACATGTCCATGTACACACAAGCACACTCTCACACTCTCTCTCCAGGCACTCATCCACACCAGCGAAGCCCAGCGTACAGCTTCCACGGCAGACAGTCCAGGGTCAGACCTGCCTCTGGATGAGCAGACGGCCTCTCGAGGGCAGGCTGACCTAGACCTACAGAGCCTGGGGGAGCCACAGCTGCCACTCGGCTCTGGCCTGGGGACCGGCCCCCGAGGGAAGAGGAGGAGAGGAAGTGGGGGACCTGGTTGGGAGCAGGACCCCGACCTCCTCCCGGGAGGCCTGCCCTCTCCCCCAGGACCCCAGGGCTGCCAAGATGTGGCCTGGCCTCAGCCTGCCCCTCCCACTGCTGGCTGCCCCTCCAAAGGGAGCTGCCACAAACAGTCTGCGCCACTCAGAGGCCCCGGGATCTGGGCCGGAGGCCCTGGGGAGGGCCTGGGGAAGGGAGGATCGGCAGCCAGAGTCTCTCTCCACAGAGGGAAGGATTCCTTAGCTTCCACAGGAGGCTGGCACTAAAGACCTTGAAGCTGAAGAGTCTAGAGAAGCTGCCTGAGCTCCCAGCCCACCCCAAAGGACCCTCCCTGGGCTCTCCAACCCACCCTCCCCAGCAGGAAGCTCTCCAGCCAGCTCTGGGGTACTCCCCTTCAGCACCCTCCTTCTCCCTCCCCACTGTGGCTCAGGGATGGACTGGAGGCTCTACCCAGGTGGCGCGCTTTGAAGTCTCCAGGCTGCTTCCCAAAAACCTGAGTCCTGTCCCACAGCTGGACAAAAAGAAGAGGGGGTATCTGTCCCAGATCTAGGATTTGCCCCCCCCCCAACACACACACACCCTCCTGCCTGCCTGGGTCCTACCTGCAGAGTCAGGCAGCGCCGGCCAGCAGCCCTGTGCCCCTTGCCCGCCTGTTTGCTAAGTGGAGCTGCAGCCAGTCCCCCAGGACAGCTCAGGGGCCGGCACGGGCTGTACCAAGTGCAGCTGTGTGCAGGGGAGGCCCTGGGATGCTCGCAAGCAGGGGGCTGGGGAAGCTCAGGGGAGCACAGAAATCAAGGGAAGGAGCAGCAGAGCTGGGAGATAAGAGAAACCCCCAAACTGAACAGGGCCTTAACCTCTACAGTGCCAGGGCCCAGCCCAAGTGGGGCCCCTAAGGGAGAGAAGCAGAGCAGGCTGATACAGGCAGGGCGGCTGGCAGGGAAGGGACAAGCCCCCTTAAAATGAAGTGCCCTAGGGGACGGCATGCAGGGCCTGGCTGACCAAAGGACAGGAGGGGGCAGCAGCCCTCCTGGGCTCCACACCTCAACACCCCTAGGTCAACTCCCTCTGCCCAGTGGCCTTGTTTTGCTCATCACTGTCCTCTGGGCCCCTGACTATGGGGTCCCTTGGGAGAGACGGGGCCTCTGCAGGGGAGACATGCTGGCTGGCAGCCGGGGTAGACACTCAGTCCAGGGAGCAACCAGTTAATGGAGCGTCTCTGCTGCCCCAGAGACCAGTTCACAGCCCCCTAGAACTCCAACTCTTCTCCAAGCCTATTGTCGGGGACAAAATGCCTGGGAGGAGAGGTTCAGACATAGGACTAGAATTTGGAGGACTTAAGTTTGACTCTGTTCCCAATTACTGGCGAGTCTCTACCATCCGGAGGCTTCAAGTCTGTCTACAATGGGGTGATAAGGGGGCCTGCCCTGCCTAGCCACAGCTACCATAAGGCACACAGAGATACGGCTCTGCAAGCATTCTGGAAAGCCCCACTATCTGTGATTAGGAACTCCTGGGACCCTCCAAACACTTCCCACACGCAGTCCCACCCACTGGGGGTGGGTGGAGCTTCGGGTCCCAGCCCAGACCAAGGCACAGAGGACTGAGGGCATGGAGGGAACAGAATGGGTGGGGTGGGGGCACTATCTCTGACTTGGAAGAGAGCAGAGCTGAAAAAAGGAAAGATGGGCACTAGCTCGGCCCTCAGAGTTTAAGGCACAGCCTAAGGTTCTTGCATTCCGCCCAAGAACCCTGATCCTACACAATCCTCCCCTTTTCTAACCCCTCCAGAGAGGCCGGCCACAGACCCCTAGGACTGGTCTGTGTCAAGTCAGCAGAACGGACACTGAGGCCCTGATCTGATCACCTCTCCTAGCAGGGTGACCCAGGGCCTCCTCAGAAATGCTGGGGTGGCCCAGACAGGTCCTAGCAAGCGGCACCATCCCCTCAGCCTGTTGGGCCACCACAAAGGACTGCCAGGGCTCCCTAGAGGTGACAGACAGGCAGTAACCACCACACTCCCTGAGGACCAGCTGCCTGCTGGTCACTTTCTCCCAGGGTCTGTGCCACAGCACCACACACACACCACACACACACACACACACACACACATGCGCATGCGCGGCGTGGGAGAAGTAGCCAAAAGTCAGGGGGGCTATGCCCTAGCCATTCCCATTAACTCCAAGATTCTTGCCAACCTATCTACCCACTTGACCAGAGCCCCTCACTTACTGCCAAGGCTGCCGCAGTAGGCAGAGACTACTCAAGGCTTTGACCTACAAGTATCAGCTGCTCCCACCATGCGACCACCCGAATGTGGACAAATCTAGCCTCAGGGGACACACCCTGTGGGGGCACAGACCTGGGCACAGAGGACAGAGCCCCTCGGGCCAATACAGAACTCAGGCCAGCATCTTCAGGAGCATAAGAAAAAACAGAAAGTAGGCAAAAGAAAAATCAGGCTACGAGTACAGACAGCTGCTGGGGGGATGGGGAACACTGGCTTGACCTGGTCATCAAAGTAGGGGTGGGCTTCCCTTAGCCACAGGCCTGAGACCAGCAGACAGCAGGTCGATTCCCTCAGCAAACACAGATCTGGGCAGTGGAGCCCTCAGGAAGATGGGCACAGCTGCACCATGCTGCCAGCTCCAAATGGTGCAGAGATGTCCACTGGACTAGGAGCTGAACCAAAGGGTGCAGTAGCATATGCAGGTGGGCAGCAGCCCCAGCCTGAGCCCCAACACTGGCCTGGCCCAAGGGCACCCCACACTTCTGAGGAAGCTCACAAGACAGACCAGAAATGAACAAACTGCAAACAATAGATACAGCTGAGCCCACAGCCCCTGGAAGCCCACAGCAGTAAGTGTGCCTTAATGTCAGACGCCCAGTAAGAGGGTTCAAGATCTGGGATCCTGGAAAGAGAAACTAACCTCAGGAGGACAGCCCGAGTCTGCCTGGTAACCACACAGCCGCCAGCAGTGTGGCCAGTCTGCAAACCAGTCAGTCCCACACATCCCCCACTCCACACACACTCCACATGCAAACAATCTTAGCACAGCCACACACGGACACGTGTGCAAATACACTCTTGCTGCACCCACACCCACACCCACTCCTCGTTACAGAGGACCGCATCCCTGACACAGAAACCAGTCACCCTGCACCCCACCTCCGTCCCCAAACTGCCTCCCAAGCCAGCTGTCCCTGGGAAGAGGACAAGGGGCATCACTGCCGAGAAGGTATAGGAGAAGTCCCTCTCCTTAGGGGACCAGTGGCCTGGATGAGAGGTGAGGGTGGGGAGCAGGGCCAGACAGAGGACAGGACGCATACACTCACCTGGTAGTGCAAAGGAAGCCTGGAGGCTGGCCCGCTTCTTAAAGGGATATTTGGCCTGGGGATTGCCGGGGCCAGATGAAAAAGATGCCATGGCTCAGGCCGCCGCCGAGCCCGCGGGGGTAGTCTGAGCCGCACCAGCTGGGCCTGGCTCTGCCACATCCAACCCCTTCCTCCGCCCCGCCCCCAGCGGGAGTGACTGATGCAGGAAGCAGAGGCCCCGCAGGCGGAAGAGGCCCTGGCCACGATTTCTGATGTTGTCTAGGCAACCTCAGGAAGGGGGGGCCTCCATCCCTGCCCCTTATCCCTCCCATCCTCTCCTCAATCCCAGGAGTGACTCGACTGATGGTAACTGGGCCTGAGGGGGTGGAGGTGAGGAAACAGAATGGGGATGGGCCAGCCCCAAGCACCCTACTAACCCCGCTATGAGCCAGGGCTCTGGAGCAAGATGGTCAAAGTTCAGGCTAACTGGTCCAGCCAGCCTGGGAGAAAAAAAATAATAATAGAGGGAGGGATCCAGCTCAGGTACCCCAAGCTCAGAACACATTTCTCTCAGGGTCAGCGGACTCCGTGAAAACACAGCCCCTCTGGGGCAGAATCCCCATTTTTCCTTATCTGAACCCCCGGCCCCAGGTGGCTCAGTTCTGGGAGGATGGGGTAGAATTGAGAATCCCAGTCCAGTAGGGAGGAGCCTGTCTTGGGAAAATTCCACTGTCCACAGAAGCTGCCCTCTCAGAAGACAGGGAGGCCAAGGAATCAGGGGCTTTCTCTGGGGTCTGGGAAAGAGACCCCAGTGGCTTCTGACGTTTCCTTCTGTCTTTCCACACTCAGGCTCTGCTCTCCTGGCCGCTCCCCAGGAGCCGGCCGCCTTCCCTAGGTCTGAAGGCACTGCACTTCTCTGTCCCAGAGACCCTGCCCCCTTCACACACACACACTCACCTGAGGCCATGCTGCCCGAGCCCTGGGGGGAACCGGGGAGTCTGTTCGCCAGGGTCTGCACCGCCTGGAAACCCGGTCACGAGGGAGGGGAGGAGGGCTAGGGTGCAGACCCTGCCAAGTGGCTCCAAGGGCCCCGGCCCTGGCACTGAGATGGGAGAAGTAAGACAGTCTTTCAAAATTGCTGGCTGGTTGGAGGCGGGCCCCCTGCCGACCTGGGCCGCTGCACTGGCCTTGTAGACCCCGGAGCCCCGACCGCCAGCCCGGCACTCGGGAGGCGGGCAGGCCACGTGCTCCCCAGAGAGCGGGACCCGGAACTCGTCTGGACTTCTCGCCACACTTTCAGTGTATTCGGGGTCGGATTCCGGTAGCTGGAACGTGGGGGAGTCACGCAACAGGTGCGACCCCACAAAAACCTCTCCAGCGACGGCGCTCTCCTCCGCAGCCCCAGGCCCCGCCAGGTCCGTGGCCCCGCCCCCACCCCGACCCGCCCCCGCCAAGCGGCCCCGCCCCCGCCATTTTTCCTCTCCCGGGCGCCACGTGGGCAGCAGCCACTTAGCATCCGCCCGGCAGCGTCTTGGGCAACTTCTGTGCGTCAGCTTCCTCACCAGTAAAGTGATGGGGTAATCGCGGTACCTCCCTCACTCAAAGAGGTTACTGTGAGAATTAAACGTTAAGCACCTTTGCACGATGCTGGGCAAAAAGCCAGTGCCCAATAAAAGACAGATAGCTATTATTACAGTCCCAGGATTCTCTTTTAGCTGAAGCCCTTCCCCGCATTCTTATTCTAGGTCGTCTGTTTTCTTACTCAGGCAGGCGTAGCTGGGCAGGGTGTGCCCTGCAATTCTGGCTCCCATTCCCACATTTATTTGTGTACTTGTTGGTCAAGAGCTCAGGCTCTGTAGCCAGAATGCCTGGGTTCAATTCCAGACTCCATCTACTTCCTGACTGCCCTTGGGAATATTTTAACTTCTCTGTGCTTCTTCTATTTCCTCTATAAAATGAGTGTGAGACCCTACTTTATAAGCTGTTAGGACAAATGAACTAACAGAAGTGCCTGGCTTTAGTTACACTCAATGTTTCCTATTATTGCTGTGTCCTGGGCCTTGGTCCCCTTTACACTCTAAGCTGATTCAGCTTGTAGCCTATAAAGAATGTATGTTGGGCTATTTTGGGGACTGCAGATACCTCACCCAACCAGCTCCCCTACTCCCAAGTGGCAGAGAATCCTACCACGAGGTTTGAAGGAAACCTGTGGGGGAAAGGACCTAATGTATTAGCAGCTCAGTCTTTTTCCTATTCTCCACCTTGTGGGAGCCCTTTGTCCCCCAAACCCAGTTGTATTAATGCTGTTTGTCCAGCTCCTCCCAGTCCTCACCATCCCTGCAGCCAAATTCCTTCCCAAACTCTGGCTCCTCCTCCATCCACCCAGGCTGGATTGTGGACCCTGAACCCGATTCTCTACCTGAATCTGGTATTGCCTCCATTGATCCCTGCCTAGTGCTCTTCACCCTGGACAACTAAAAAAAAAAAAAAAAGACCTCTGTAAACAAGGGGGAAAAGTTCACCTCACAAAGAATCAATGAAACTAAAAAGAGAACAAGGAGAAACCATGCTAACCCATCAAATTAGCAAAGATTAATGGGAAAAGAGTCCTAAAGCAGGCAAGGGTGCGGTTAGTGAGATGGGACACACACACGTCCTACTGGTGGTCGTAAATGTAGAATTTTTCTGAAAGCCATTTGGCAACCTATAATCAAGAGTCTTAAAAAGGTTCACATTATTTGACACAGTAATTCCACTTCCAGGAATTTGTTCTTTTAAAAAAAAGTTGCAAGAAAAATATGCACAGAATTGTTCGTAACTACAATGTTTATCACATAGAAAGGTTGGAAACTTAAAAGGCCAACAACAGGAAAATGTTTAAATTATGTCATATGCACACAATGAAATACAACCATTAAAAATTGTCCTGAAGAATTTCTTAGTAAGGTGAAAATGTTTACAATGTAAAATTTGGGTGGAAAAAATGGGTGCAAAAATCTGTACAATACAGTATGGTCCTAATTAAGTGACGCATATGCATAGAAAATAACCACATCAACAAGTTTAACAAATGATTATCTGTGAGTGGTGAAATTATGAGTTATATTTATTTTCTTCTTTATGCTTACTTGCATTTTAAAAACTGTCTACAATGCATATCCATTACTTCTATAATCAAGGAAATGGAAAGCAACAGAAGTCTATGAAAATCTGTAATAGCCTCTACACCCCACCCACTTAATACTCTTCTATGTTTCAACCCCAGACTAAATTGGTTTGGGGGCCTTTAAGAATTTTAAGGCTGCTGGGCTCTCAACAATGAATAATAAAATAAATTTTTTAAAAAATTTAAATATCAAGGACCAGGTAAACCAAGCAGAATGTCATCTATATTGTGCTTGCACTAAATCTGCTTTAGTGCACAAATTCTGTTGTGTCTGACTCTTTGTGACGCCATGAACTATAGCCCGCCAGGCTCCTCTGTCCATGGAATTCTCCAGGCAAGAATACTGGAGTGGAAAAAAAAAAAAAAGAATACTGGAGTGGGTTGCCATGCCCTTCCTCAGGGGATCTTCCCAACTCACGGATCAAACCCATGTCTCCTATCTCCTCCATCGGCAGGTGGGTTCTTGACCACTTAGCGCCACCTGGGAAGTCCCTAGGAAGTCATCTATATTGATACAATGCAAATTTTGACATAGCTTTATGGGGAGGTATCTTGCATTGGACCAGGTCTTTTTAGGACTCCCCCTTAATACAGACCTACCTACCTAACCAGCCTGTAGGTGGCAAGGCAAACCAGTTTACTAGTCCCTTCCTGTCCCTCCCTAGTCCTATCTACAGCACATCCTTCACCCTGTAATCTTCCCTATTTCTAGGCCTTTTGGTATGCTGTCCCTGCTAGGAAGTCTGCACTGATTACAGTTAAGCAGCATTCTCCCCACCTACACATTATCAGCAAGAATCTTAGTAGGATTTCACTGTCTATCTAGAACAGTTTGGGGAATGAAGGTGTGAGTCATTCTCTCCGACCTCTAGCTATTTTCATTTTGGGGACTAAATGTTGTCTTTGAGCCTCTGAGATCTTCCTTAGCTTGAAACAAGCTTCCTTACCTCCTAGCCTGTAACCAAGATGGTTTCTTGAATGGCTCTCCCTGAGCCCCAGGCCTCATTGACAATGCACTCATCTCTGAAGAACTGCTTCTCTTCTCTTCTTGCCTGATGCTCACTTGTGATGTCAGCCTCCTACCGAGGCCAGACCACTCTCAGCAGATGGTAGGCCTGGGAGAGAACACCGGCAGCCTCAAGAGATCACTGGCCATGACGCTTTCCCAAACCATACCTTATGCCTAGATCCTTCTAGAATCTGTTCAGCTCTTTTTCTCAGCTTCTACCAGAAGCCAGCCCCCCACCCAGCTACCCAGCATTGTTTATGGCAACATGCAGCAGTATCCAACCATATTTGTTTGTAAGTCTTCAATAAGCTTTAGCCAAACCTTTGTCATTCAAGGCCCTTCACTGGCTAGCCTCACTTTTCCTTGTTTTCATCTCCCAGCCCTTCCCTCCATGCACTTTTCACTTTTACTCCAGTCCCATCACATCAAACTTGCCAGTCTTCTCCAAGCACACTTTGTACCTCATGCCTCCATGCTTTTCTCATGCTCTTTTCTCTCCTTCAAGTGCCTATCCTCCATTTCTGTAGTTCTGCTTTTCTGTTGAAAGTCTGTTTATAATTTTTTCTCCCTTCTTTTACTATGGAATTTATCCATCTGCCAGTGAGATGTGTGTATAATTGTCTTTCCTACCAGGAGTCGAGGCTAGGTTTTAAACAGCTCTGAATTCTCCAGCACTAGCTAAACCATTCCTTTAACTATGTTGTTTCTCTGTGAATTTACACCATCTCTTCCTTTGGACTGTAAGGTCCTGAAGGAAGTTCCTCCTTCTTCATGGCCCTGCCCCCAAACAAACTCCAGCTGGCTGATAAGGCTTTACCCACAATCCCTACCACTGAGTATAAGACAGATTTTGAGATTTCCTCTTAACTCAGGTGGAAAATGGTGATTTTTTTTTCTTTCATTCAGTATAATTTGGTTATGCAAACATTCAAACAGC